AGCGACCGGTCGGTCGCTCTCGGTGCCCTTGAGCCGCCCGGGAGGGTCCGGAGGTTGCAGAGCGGTTGGGGAGCAGCACCGGTGCTGCACGGCTGGGCTAGAGCTGCACCCCCGGGGGGGCTTTGCAGAGGGTCCATCCCCCGTTCCCAGCACCCCCGGGGCAAGAAAATTATATTAATTATTCCTACAAACCCTGTAAAATCACGGTACCGGCCCCATTTGGGTGCTACCGGCACCGAGGGCAGGACGTAGCATCCTCTGGGATGTCCCCGAGCGCCACCGCTGCCACCCCCACTCGTCCCCAACCCTCAACACCCATTTTATTTCTCTGTTTTTTCCTTATTTCCCCCCTTTATTTCTGGTTTTCCCTCTATTCCCCCCTTAATTTCTCTGGTTTTTTCCTTATTTCCCCTTTATTTCTGTATTTGCCTTATTTCCCCCCTTTATTTCTGTTTTTTCCTCTATTCCCGCCTGTATTTCTCTGTTTTTTCCTCCATTTCCCCTTTCGTTCTGTTTTTTCCTCCATTTCCCCTTTCATTCTGTTTTTTCCTCCATTTCCCCTTTCGTTCTGTTTTTTCCTCCATTTCCCCCCTTTATTTCCCCATTTTTTCCTCCCCTGGACTCCATAAAAACACACAAACACTTTTTTTTTTTTTGCTTGTTTGTTTGTTTGTTTTTTTCTCTTTATTTTTAAAAATGAAACAGTGGAGTAAAGCGGTTTGTGGCAAAAAAAAAACAAAAAACAAAAAACAAAAAACAACAAAACAACAACCTCGCTGGAAGAGAAATGGAGCCCACGTCCATCCGTAATCCCAACTCCACATCCAAGCCAACAAACTGCCTCACGCGAGGGGACAAGGGAAGAACACGGATTAGAAGAGGCAAGGAGGAGAGGGAGGGGGAAAAGGCAAAAAGAAACAAATCAGCTGAAAAGAGGAAAAACAATATCATTACAGGAAAGTACAATTGTTATTTTTTTCTGAATAGCCTGAAATTGTATTGGGGCGGCTGCCGGGAGAAGCAGCACCCTTGGGTGCACCCGTCCCGTGGATGAGGAGGTGGCTGGGTGCTCCCGGCGTCGGGGTGCAGCCATGTGGCACCCCAAATTCAGCTCAATCGCCTCCCCCCCCCCCCCCGTCCCTGCACCCCTCCACCGGCGC